CCACCAACCATTAGCCTAAGATGGTAGAACTCAACTTCTGTTCTGAAACTGTGTTGAAGATGGCTATGTGTGTCTGCCATCTCTCCCCGGCTCTAAAGTAGATTGCTAAGTTGGTTTTTCAACAGATACTTGAGTGCCCATGTTTGGCACTGGAGATATAAGGACAGATGAAGCTGGAAGCCTGGGGGCTGTGGCTCTAGTGTTTGTGAGTTCAAACCCTAGCCCTGCTGGAGGGTGAGAGATAAAGGATGTGGCTCAGGCTCAGTGGAGACCAGAGCAGACTGGAGCTGTGACTGTAGGGTCACGCCCGTGTGGGCATGGCAGCGCACAGACACCTGAGCAGCTTCTCCAGCCAGGGTGTAAAAACCAAGAACAGTAAGCACATCCCCAATGGCCAAGAGGGTGTCAGTCTCCTCCTTCTTCTGCTGCAGACGGCGAGAGATGGCTTGTCAGCCACACAGGTGCCTGTCGATGGTGCAGAACTGACATGAAATACTGGCTGTGGCGCAATGAGCTGTAAGTCTGCAGGAACAACTCGCATGCCTCCTCTCAGCTTACTCCACACACAGCCCCAGGAGGCCTCTGTGATCACCTTGCTGCTTTGTTGCTGACCTTGCCGAACCATAGTTGTATCATAACATCTGAGCTGGGGGGATCTGAGCTCCTTTATAAGTGGGCAAAAGGGGAGACCCCGGTGTGGAGCCCCATGAAGGCTGGCCCCCCTCACAAATGTGCGGGCGGGAAGAAGGGCGGAGGTGGGTGTCCGCAGGTGTTGGCAGAGGTCTCCTGGGAAAGTGGCAAAGCTGAAAGGCGTCCGTGACATGGTCTCAGGTCAGCGTGATGGGAACCCCCAGACCTAGTTTGTGGGGTTGTTGGCATTCCTTTAGCCTCTATAGTTGGAGTCTTGCTGCCCTTGGCCAGGCTGATATGGCCAAGGGTGAGTGAGCTGGTCAAAGCAGGAGGGGAAATGCAGGCCTAGTGGCCCGGCCTTCTGCCACCCGCCTTCCCGACGCTGCTCTCCCCGTGGGTCCGAGGGGAAATGCAGGCCTAGTGGCCCGGCCTTCTGCCACCCGCCTTCCCGACGCTGCTCTCCCCGTGGGTCCACGGCCTGTGGACCGCTGGGCTGGCTTTTTTTTTTTGGTCAGTCCTGGGGCTTGAACTCAGGACTCAGAACCTGGGAGCTGTCCCTCAGCTCTTCATCTCAAAGCTAGTGCTCTACCACTTGAGCCATAGTGCCACTTCCAGCCTTTTCTGTTTATATGGTGCTGAGAAATCGAACCCAGGGCCTCATGCATTCGAGGCAAGCCATGTTCCCAGCCCCCGGCTGGGTTTTTGCTAGTTGAGACAAGCCACTGAGCCATTTTCCCAGCCCCTGGGCTGGGTTTTTGCTAGTTGACTAGCACAGGGCTGCTTTATGAATACATAACTGGAAGACATAATCAGCATAATTGAATTAAGGTTTTGTTTAGCTGATTTGAAACTTGGAAAGTTTGAAGCTTTTATTAGACATTTTTGTTCTTTAAGTGTCGCACTTGCTTGGAATCGGTGTGTGGGAAGCAGCTGAGAACTGTCTGCAGTGCAGGTGGGGTGACCTGTGCTTCCCCCCGAGCAGGTGAGGCCTTACACACACACCCTGAAGCAGTGCTTGGCTGGCAGCAGCATCCGGGGATGCAGGCACTGGTGATGCTGAGCCTGCCACGTTGGACACAGGCTGTACTCATTGGCTGTCCATCCCTGTCAGGGCGGTCCTGCTTCTTGTCTAGTCCAACCTGGCCTGGAGCCCACTATCTTCCTGCCTCAACCTCCCAAGTGCTGGGATTACAGGCATGCCACACCGCAGCCACCTTCCTGTCACTTTGTGTTTTTTTTTTTTGTTTTGTTTTGTTTTTTGGTTGGTCGTAGGGCTTGAACTTTTGGCCTGGGCGCTGTCCCTCAGCTCTTCAGCTCAAGGCGAGCGCTCTACCACATGAGCCACAGCACCACTTCTAGTTTTCTGAGTGGCTTATTGGAGATAAGAGTTTCATGGACTTTCCTGCCCGGGCTGGCTTTGAACCACGATCCTCAGATCTCAGCCTCCTGAGTAGCTAGGATGACAGGTGTGAGCCACCAGTGCCCGGCTTCCTGTCACTTCTGAAACAAGACCCACAATTCTTCTATGGGCTTGATCTGGGCCCCACAGCCATGGACCTGGTGGCCTCAAGTCTTGATGGACCCTGCTTGTTCATCCCTTCCTCTCCTGCGGCCTGCCACCTCAGGACCAGGATTACTTGCCTGTCTCCCCACCCTACCCCCACCCCAACCTCCACCCCTGCCCCACCCCAACCTCCACCCCTGCCCCACCCCCTGCCCCAGACCAGGTGTCCTGGCCGCCTGGAAAATAAGCCATTATTCTCTGTACCTTCATTCACCTTTTTTTGCTTGGCTTTCTTGCTCATAGCTGATGTTCTACCATTTGAGTCACACCTCCAGGCTGGTTTTTCGCTGGTTCATTGGAGATGAGTGTCCCCCCCCCCCCCAAAAAAAAGAGCATCTCCCAGATTTGTTGCTCAGGCTGGCTTTGAACCAAGATAATCAGCTCTTTAGCCTCTTAAGCAGCTGGGATTACAGGTGTGAGCCACTGGCACCTGGCTTTGCTTTTTTTCTGTTTTAGGAAAAGTTATAGGACATTGTATGCTTATTGGCTCACCCACTGGCCGGCTGCTGTTACAGGAAATGTGAGTGGCCAGCAGCTTTTGTTAGTCCTATAGCCCCAAGACATGGTGGTCTGTAGTGCCTCGGGGTGAATTTGCTCAACTGAGCCCATGGATGGAGATCTAGGGGTGGGGAGGACAGGCACAGGGATGGAGAGCCAGACCCCCTTCCCCTTGCCTGAGAGACGCTGGCATTTTGGAGAGTTGGAGACTTTGAATCCACTCTCTGAAATGAGATTACTGTGGGGAAGATTAGGTGTTGAGGGGAAAAAAATCATTCTCGTCTAATCATTTTCCAGCTTTTCACAGGTTGGCTGTGCTGTTGTTGGGTCTCGAAGTTGGGCTTGTGGGCACAGCCTGTAGCCCTAGCTCTTGGGGAGGCAGAGATCATCTTCAGAACTTCAGCTTGAGGGCTGGGAAGGTGGCTCAGTGGTAGAGTGCTTGCCTTGCATGCTCAAGGCCCTGGGTTCGATTCCTCAGCACCACATAAACAAAAAGAAAAAAGCCGGAAGTGGCGCTGTGGCTCAAGTGGTAGAGTGCTCGCCTTGAGCTGAAGAGCTGAGCGACAGCGCCCAGGCCCAGAGTTCAGGCCCCACAACCGGACCCCCTCCCCCCCCCAAAAAAAAAAAAAAAAAAGAACTTCAGCTTGAGCCAAGCACTGGTGGCTTCCGCCAGCTGAGAGACCAGGACCAGGGTTCAGGTGGAAGAGCACCAGCTTTGATTGAAAAGGCTCAGGGACTGCACCTAGGCTCTGAGTTCAAGCCCCAGGGCTGGAATGCACGCGCAGGTGCATGTGCACACACACATACACACACACACGTGCACACACACGGACACACACACACAAGTTCAGCTCAAGTTTTGGAGACTTGGCTCAGTGGTGCGTGCATCTCACCCACCATGGCCAGGTGTAGTGGACACACCTGTCATCCCAACAACAAAGGGGTCACAGGTGGGGTCACAGGGTGGTTTGACGTGGGGACTTGTCTTGAAAGTAGCCAACACAAAAGGGACTGGTGGGAGAAGCATGTTGACAGTATGAGGCCCTGAGTTCAAACCTCAGTACTCCCAAAAAAGAAAAATATTGGTGCCTTCTTGTGGCTGAGCACACTCTTACACAGTCGCCTGGGATGTTCGTGCGAATCCACCCTGGCTCTCGGTGCCCGCCTGCGGTCGTAGCCGTGCCCAGAGGGGCTGAGCTGTGAGGAGTCAAGAAGAACAGATGTGAGGCCCCATAGCCCCATGCCTGGGAGGGTGTGGGCAGTGTCCATGCACACTTCCTTCTGGAAGGATTCAGATTGCACTGCTGCAGGCTGTGAGAAATGAACCAGCCCAACATCAGCAGCATGGCCCCATAGATATAATGATAGAGTCACTGCATTATTTCCTTAGAGTTTTGTACTGGTGTAGTGACTCCAGCCCATGAAGTCCAAGGCTTAAAGACTAGCCGGGAGCATTTCCTGCTTCCCGCAGCTCTGAGGGCATCATGCCTGCCCCCTCCCTCCCCCCCCTTCCTTCCCCTTCCCTCCCCTTCCCTCCCCTTCTCTCTCCTTCCCTCTCCTTCCCTCCCCTCTCCCTCTTCCAAGGATGGAAGTAGCCTCCACAATGAACTTCTGCACTGCATCTTGCTATGGTTAGGTTTGTGGTTGAGCAGGGGTTCGTTGTGAACTGGTGTGTTATGTAGTGTTTTGTTTCGGAGTTGGCTCTCGGATGCTGTGTCCGATGCTCACCTGTCAGTGCTCCTGGGTGAGTGCGGGGCAATGGGCACTCTGGGGAACGGCACGGCTCATCTGGGCCCCCAACACAGGCCTGCGGAGCCTTGAAGTCCTGAGCTGTGTTGTTTTCAGCAGAGATGGCTAGCTCTGGCAGTTCCAGCCTGTGCAGGTTCCTCTTCCAGCTGCCGGGAGCTGACCCTGGGCCCCGGGCAGCCCTCGCCTGTCCTGGGTTCCCTCCATACTCCTTTGCTTCCCAGCACGGATGAGACACGCACGGGAGCTGGCCCACGCTCCTTGGTGGGGAGACGAGCCCCAGAGCCATGAGGAGGAGGGGTCTGGGGGAGGGGGCTCTGTTCTTCCCATAATCAAAGTGGGCAGTGAGACCTGGCCCGGGCTCGCCTGGCCTGCGTTGTCACACTCGATCCCAGCCGCTGGGTTTGCCGCCCTGGGCTTCACTGGCGCAGCCACAGGGGGAAGAGCTTGCTGCATCTCATCCGTGCCAGCAGCGGCGCCGCCTTTGTTGGAGAGAAGAGCCATGTTAAGGCAGCATCCTCCACGTCCACCGCGGGCTTCTCACTCGCTGTTGTTGTTACAGGCTATGGTAGCTTGTTACCCCGGCAACGGAACGGGCTACGTTCGCCACGTTGATAATCCGAATGGAGACGGCAGATGTGTGACCTGTATATATTATCTAAATAAAGACTGGGATGCCAAGGTATGCAACATAATCAAGTATTTTCCCAACTGTTTTAAGTCTTTTTCACTTAAAAATAGCCAGGCACTGGTGGCTCTTGCCCATTATCCTAGCTTCTCAAGAGGCTGAGATCTGAAGATTGCAATTCAAAGCCAGCCACAGCAAGAAAGTCTGTGAGACTCTTATCTCCAGTTAACCAGCAAACAAGTCAGAAGTGGAGCTGTGACACAAGTGGTAGAGCACCACTTTGAGCAGAAAAGCTCAGGAACAGCCCAGGCCCTGAGTTCAAGTTCCAGGACTAGTGTACAGGCATGCGCGTGCACACACACTTTGCTAGACACCTGGGGTTTGCTGAACAGGAACAGAGTAAGCAGGCCAGGGGCTCGTGTCTGTGTTCACCTGGGGAGGAGGCCCTGGGACATTACTCTCAAGTTCTGGGGATAGCTTAGGACCACACTAAAATTCCTGCCGGTCCACCTGCAGAGGGTCCAGTGGCTTGGTTGGGCTGGTCTGTGCATCTGCACTCCCAGAAGGAAACCCAGGAGCCAGGTCTTCCTTCACCCTGCTCCCCACCAGGCCCTACGGTTCCCCGCGCACATGATGTCCATCCAGGGCTGGACATGCGAGTCCATTTGGTCCCGAACAGTGTGTGTGTGGGTAGCCGGGGGCAGCCTTTGTAGATGAGATTGAACTGCCCTGGTGTGTCCTCCAGGGTGGGCAGGACTGGGTCTTGGGTGCGAGGATGTGGCGACTCCGTAGCCCATGGGGGATTCTCCACATAAGAGGCCAAGGCCCCTGCGATGATTTTGCTGGACCGTAAAATAAGACACAGGGTTTATTCAATAGAATGAGCCTTGGCTGGGCTAATGCGCTCGTCAGGCTGGTTCAGAATATGGCTGTAAGGGTATGGACACAAATAAACATCTGCTGCTTTCTGAAACTCAAGCATTATCTGTTTCATCAGGTGTTCAGAGACATCTCTAAAACAAAAAGTGACTCTTTTCCTAGCACTAATCATGTACTCACTCCGGTACCTTGTTGGTTGAGGTTTGTTTGTGAGCACACCAGACGAGCCTCTTACTTCACTGACACCGTCCAGTGGCGTGCATGCTTGCTCCCTCTCACACACTCAACTCTTCTCCTAGGTAAGTGGAGGTATACTTCGAATTTTTCCAGAAGGCAAAGCCCAGTTTGCTGACATTGAACCCAAATTTGATAGACTGCTGTTTTTCTGGTCTGACCGTCGCAACCCTCATGAAGTACAACCAGCATATGCTACAAGGTAGTGTTTCTTTTCTGAAAGCTGAGCGCAGGAGGGGACACGGGGCACAGGGGAACTTGGCTGGGAGTTGGAAGAAAGCCAGGCGTGGTGGGTGACACCTCTAATCCCAGCACTTGGGAGGCTGAGGCAGGATTGTGAGAGAGAGAGAGAGCTAGCTCCTCAGGCCCAAGTGCCCACACCCCCACAGCTGCGCTCTCCCAGGAGGCTGGGGAGTGGCCGGCCTGGGCCCCAGGAGCTGGGTGCTGGGAGCCGGGTGCCGGGCCTCCCGTCCAGAGCTCCAGTTACAACTCTATGCTCTCCTCTGTTAAACTGCTTCCACGAGGAAGCTGGAGTTGAGGAAATGTTGGTGAATAAGGAAGTCTCCAGTTTGCAGATCCGTGTTCTGTAGGTGCACATGGAGAGAAGTGGGAGCAAAAGAAACCCTCACACAGTACATCCTACCCCTTACCCCAGAAGAGGCCGCACAAGAGAGAGGCGTGGTAAGCCACGAAGTGCCCGGCTCTTCGGTGCATTTGACTCAGTTCAGTTCTGACACTGCCCTGCCCGTGCTCCTGAGCAGCGTGGCATGCAGCAGGCTCCTGCTTCCTGCACCTCTCTGCACGTGGGCAGCGTAGCCTGGGGTCGATGCCCCTGGAGCGGGCCTGCCCCGCCCTTGTGGAATAGCATCATCCTCCTGTCCGCTGGAGTCAAAGCACAGGAGAGTCTGCAAAGTTCCTGAGCGTAGTTCAGTGTCTTTGTGGCTCCTCCGGGCGGCAGCAAACCCCGCCACGCGCTGCCACCCCTCGTGCAGTGTATGTTGTCCCACAGTGCGTGCCCTGTTCCTGCCGCTGCGGTGCAGCTGCCACCTCTGGGCTGCTGGTGACGGGCGGCTCTGTCATCCCCACACGCATACCTGCCTGTACACTGCAGCAGACCCGCACCTGTGCAGGCCTTCTCAACCTGTTCTGAATTCTCTTTTAGGTACGCAATAACTGTTTGGTATTTTGATGCAGATGAACGAGCAAGAGCTAAAGTAAAATATCTCACAGGTAAGCCCTGGTGGTGGCTGGCCTTGGGCGCCAGCAACCCGTTAACCAGCGTTCGCCACCTAGGCTCGGCCCCGGGAAAACGGCAAACGCTCACAGCTAGGTCAGAGTCCTTAACTCCGTTTAACACAGGATTTCTCCTGAGTGTTCTTCATTGCTGTTTGGGATTGAGATTAGGGAAATGTGAGGCAGAGCAAGCCCCGTCGATGCAAGCTGGCTGGCCGGTTTCGGGCCCTCTCCCCTTTGATGGAAGTGCACCTCCTCTCCTGACGGCCACGCCCATCTGTCCCCAGCATCCTGCATCCCGCATTCCACCCACTGCGCGCACCACCTGCCCTCCTGGGACCATGGGCGTCAGTTTCTCACAATGACCAGTTGTCTTTCTCGGACCCTGCCTTAGATTCCAGAAACCCCAGTCCGGCCATTACTGGCTCACTGCATTCTAACAAGCCTCTGGCAGTCCAGTCGAATCCTTGGATTTCTGTAGATTTTTCAGTCCTGATTTGCTGTCTGCTAGACACAGACAGCATTGGTTTCAGAGGACATGGTAGGTCGCCCACAGAAGCCTGGTTCCAGTGTCCCGCTGGTCACACTGCAGGGCAGGGTGGCTGGCGTGGGGTGCGGGGCAGGGCACGCGGTCCCAGGGCTCTGCAAGCCCGGGTGGCATCTGCAGAGTCTGGCAGCAGTGCTGGACTCTCTGGTGCCTAACCAGGGAACATGTCTTTGCCTTGTAGGAGAGAAGGGTGTGAGGGTTGACCTCAATAAACCGTCGGATTCCATCAGTAAGGATGTCCAGTAGGGCCTCTGCCCAGCGACGGGGCCTCTGCCTAGCGATGCGGCGTCTGCCCCAGGGGTGCCCACCTCACTGGCCAGGATTCAGGAGCCATCTGCTGACTTCGTGTGGACACGGTGACAGGAGAAGGAAGGAGGCGCCGGGTGGCATTTCACAGGACAGAGACAGCTGTCGCTGGCCAATGGAGCAGAGGAGTGGCTGCCGTGCCCCGCGTGGCGGCCCCCCTGCGTCTGCCTGTGCCTGTGCTCGTGCCAGCGCCGGACAGGAATTAAGGCCCTGTGTAGAGTTGTTTTCATTTTTATATTTTGCCAGATCTGTCATTTAGCTGAGTTCATTTCATCTCTCTCTTTTTTATATCAAGTTTGAATTTGGGATAATTTTTGTATGATTAGGTACAATTTATCAAAACTGAATTGAGAAAAAAAAATGACAGTATTATTCCTCAAAATAACATCAATCTATTTTTGTAAACTTCGTACTATTAAATTTTGCCCTCAAAGACCTCTCGCAATGATTGTTGCCAGTGACTGGTGATCCTTTTTTGTTTTTTGGGTTTTTTTAAACTGAAATGAGGAAGGAGCACTTTAGTTGTCAACTGAAAACCCAGAATTTTACTTGGCCTGTCTCACGCTAATCTGAACTCTGGAAGATCGCTGTGTTTTTGGCATTGTCATAATGAAACCTAACTGTAGACTGTTACTCCTGAGTAGCAAGTAACCTTTAGTACATGATTTTACAAGGGAAAAAAAAAAAGATGGGAAGAAGGGCGTAACCTTTTATTTATTTATTTTTTTAACCAAGTGACTGGCATTATGTGAACTTGAGACTTCAGGTTCCTAAGTCAAAGGGCTTTCTTCTGCTCCACCAGTCTCCCTCCTCTTCTCCTCCCTGGTCCCGGGCTGTGTGTCAGCCGCAGGGCGGCAAGCAGCAGGCCAGGTAGGGAGGGGGAGGTTGCCGGTGTGGGGAGAACAGGAGAGGGGCTGCGGGCTCTTGGGCCGGCCAAGGCCTCCTCCCAGACCCCACATCCATGTCAAGCCCGGCATCCCGTCTTCACGTGCCTGAACTTGGAGCGAAGCCCCAAGGGTGGCACCCGTCCTTCCTGAGGCTTGGCCCCTGGGGCTGCCGCCTGTCTTTGGTCTGCTTTACTGGAAGGGGGCTGTGCAGAAATCGCTGTTCTTCCGGGCGTGGCCGACTCGGCCTCTGCACCTCACTGCCACTCATGGCAGCTGTGCGTGCAGACGTGGGGCTCGCCGTGCCGTCCATGGCCGTGCTCAGCGCTGCCCCGCGTCCTCCCCTCACCCCTGGTGACCACCAACACCTCTCCAGCAAGTGCCTCTGCGAGCCGGGCCTGGCCGGCCCCCCCCCCCTCCCCCACCCAGGAATGCCCGGCTTCAGGGCTTTGCCACCCAGCCTGCGTGTGTCAGGCTGCTGTCAGGCCACGTGCCCCCCGCCCCCCCCTCTCCCCCCCCCCCCCAGTGCCCGTCTGTAGAGTCAGGTGAAGTTGCTTCCACGGGCAGGCAGGCAGGAGCTACCACTGCTGGGACAGGGGGCAGCCTTCTATGCTGAGTGCCTGCCATCCTCAGGCCGCACCCCTGCAGGTGGACTCGGCCAGATTCTGCAGTGGCCTCTACTCAGCAGACAGGGCGTCCATTGAATAGTTTTCTTGGAGACCACTGTGAAGAGATTAAGAAACCAGGATAGCTGCCTCCCTAATAGTCATCTAAAGCCTCTGATGTTGTGTTAGACCGGTAACTCACCACCACCAGGACTCTAAAGCAAAGTCTAAAGCGGATCTGTGGCCTCGGTGTGTTGAGCCTGGTTGGAGATTAAGCTTTATGATGCTGTTCCTATTCAACACATTAATCAGCTGTAAAACACTCCCTTATCATAATAGCAAGCAAAGGACTCCAGGATTCATCTAAGGACACTCTGAAGTCATGTAATTTGAAAAGCAGTGTTGCGTTATGGAAGAGCTCCCAAGTTGCTTGTAAAGCTAATCTAATTAAAAAGATATATAAATGTTCTTGAAAAAATGATGGTTGTGACTTCCAGCTGTCTTGTTTTTAACCCGTTGGCTTTCTTAATTGGCCTTTGCACCGGTGGCTGTGCTCTGCTCACTTAGACATGCAATGGGTTGCTTTTTGTATGGGTTGGGGGAGGAAGGCAGATGTGTAGAGTCCAGCATTTTTAGAAACCTCGTGGATTATGGATGGACCCAATGAGCCCCATTTGGATTCCCGGCATTTTAAGTTCTTGCTCTTTGAATATAAGGGTTTTAAAAAGTGATTTTAACTCATGACTCGGAGATGCTTGCATCAGTCCTGTGCCATGTGTGGGGTAGGTGTGCCCCTCCTGACTCATGGTGTGCTGCCATGTGTACATGTGTGAGAATGTGTGTGTGTGTGCATGCATGTGTATGCACATGTGTACACAGCATGCACAGGAATTTAATTTGTGGTCATACATCAATACAAGCACTAACTCAGAGCCTGAGCTCTGTCTGTGGGCTTCTTTTGCTCAAGGCTAGCACTCTACCACTTGAGCCACAGTGCCACTTCCAGCTTTTTCGGTTTATGTGGTGCTGAGGAATTGAACCCAGGGCTTCATGCATGGAAGGCAAGCACTCTTTTGGGAGATAAATATGCATGTGGTATCTTTTGGGTTTTTTTGTTTGTTTGTTTTTTGTTTGGTACTGGTCCTGGAACTTGAACTCTGAGATTTTTTGCTGAAGGCTAGCACTCTACTACCTGATAGTACCTGAGCTGTAGCTCTGCTTTCTGGCTTTTTGGTGGTTATTTGAAGAATTTCATACTTTCCTTTCTGGGCTGGCTTTGAACCTGGATCCTCAGATCTAAGCTTCCTGAATAGCTAGGGTTACAGGTGTGAGCCATCAGCCCCAGCTCTTTTTATAATTTCTTTGGTGTGTGTAGCTGTTTTCCAGCATTCTGGCCTATCATTGCGTTTGGAGGGTTGTACTGAAAAGTATGATAGTGGGTAGATGAGAAGATAGATGGGTCAGACATGAAGACCGATCAGATTAAATCTGAGAATAAGCCCATATAGAACTGTGTGAGACCTCACTGATTGAGGTGTGCTGGCACCCAGTGGGCAGCGCACCCTGGCCTCCCACAGGCCCCTCCCTCCCATTCCCACAGTGGCAGCAGAAAACCGAGTGAAGGAGCTTTGGACAGCTGGCAGTCGTAGCCCTCATTTCCTTGTCAACAATAGGTTTTCTCACAGTAACTTGGATCCGAATCAATTTGCTGTGCAATGTGCTCTTATTTGCCAGACTACACGTGGTCTGAGAAAGAGCTGGGTTGTGGGTTAGACGGCCATGGTCTGTACTTACCTCTCTCATATATACCTAGCAATATAATTACACATGGGATTTTTCCTATTGCATTTATAAACGCTCAGAAGCAAGCATCTGGAGACACGGCTCAAAGGGTAGAGCCCCTCTCAAGCAAGCCTAAGGACCTGAGTTCAAACCCCAGTACTGATCTCGTGTACGCACACACATATGCACGTGCACACATACACAGGGAGCATATGTCTCCCTTTTTTCAAGGGTACAGTTTGCATTGTGTCTCTGGAGGCATGAAGGCCTCTGCTAGCTCCCGTGTGGTCTTCAGCTGTGACCATGTTTCCTCTGAAGTGTGGCGCTGGGCATGTAGGCTCTGGAGCTGCAGCCTGCTGGCTCTCTACACAGATCGGCCGCCACCCTGTCCCAAGGAGATGTCCCAGCCCTCAATGAGTGCTGGTAGACAGTTCTCTCCTCCTGGTGTTCACAACTTTGTCAGCCAGGCTTGTCATATTTCCATGCTGTTCTACAGGATATGCTTGCTCTTCTTTCTCAGAATATACAAGATTTTGTCCTCATTGTAATGAGGACTGGGAAACACTTGTCAGTCACAGTTTCTAGGATGGAAACCTTGAGCAGGATTTTTTTTCTTTTCTTTTTCAAAAATAAAAGAGCATAAGGAACCAAGGAAGTGGTGACAATTATGGAGAAACAGAAAGGTGGTGCAGAAAATGAGAGCAATTCATAAACTTTTTCTCATTTTTTAAGTAGCAATATCTACTATACTAAAAGGGTTAAAAAAAAAAAGTCTTCTACCTTCGAAGAAACAAGTTACGCTCTTCAACCGCTCTGTCTTCATCAGATCTGAACAGAATCGCTGATCTACCACTGAGAGGATGGAGAGCACTGTGTGTTCAGGGCACTGCCCAGGCTCCTCCTCACCTCCACCTTGCATGTGGTGAGGTTCACGGTGACAACTGGGTTGCTCAATACTCAAATGTACAGGGTGCTGTGAGGACTTTTCATTTTACTTCTTTACCTTTTGGATTTTGTTGAGACAAGGTCTATGTAGCCCAGGCTGGCCTCAAATGAGTAGGCCTCTTGCCTCAGCCTCTCAGTCCTGGGGTTTCCTGGCCGAGCTGCGATGCCCAGCCCCAGATTGCTTTTTTCTTCTGCGATTTACTTTTCCCCTCAGTGTCTCCACTTTGCCCGTGCTTGAGCATCTTCCTGGCGGCTGACCAGGCCAGGACCCTTTCGGCCAGGTGCCAGTGGGCTCCCGGACCCTGAAGGCTTCTCTCCTGGGACACTTCTGAATGACCTGAGGACAGCACACGGTCCCGGGTCCTGCTCTTTGTTTTCACGACTACATGTCACTGGTGATTAGGCTGCTTGTAGAACCCTCATCTGGAACCTCACCTTTAGACTCCTCTAGCTCTGCTGGGGGAGGCCTGTCCGTGGTTGTTCCGTGGCTGTTTGTATTAGCTGCTCTTTCTTTAAGGAAGCTCACCTGATCTCTGGGCTTCTTCCTTGGGCGGCGGTAAGCTTTATCCAGTCCCTGACACTCAGCCTACGGGCGGTTTCTGGAGTTCATTTGCTACTTCCCTCCCTTTCACGTTTCCTCCTGGAGCTCCACCCTGACTGAGGGGAAGGCAACTGAGCTTTTCTAGTAGCATGTCTTTGTCTCTTACTTCTCCAGTTCTTCAGATCTGCTAAAGGATTTTTCGTTTTCAAGAGCTTTGGGCCCTGGGTGTGGCTACTTGGCTGAGACGGCTCCCGCCCAAGCACAAAACCAAACAAAGCAAACCAGCACGTGAAGGTGTAGGGAGTGCCCAGAGAGAGGAAGGCAGAGAGACCTGGGCACCGCCACGCACAGCGAACACGCAGGAGAAAGCGGGAGCTCTGTGAGCATCGGGTGCCAGCATACTGCCACCGCCGGGGCCCCGGGCCCCAACCACCACCGTGTCAAGGGAAGAGGAAGCTTGGAAGTTCTCAAGACCCAAAGTCTCAAGAGGGATAGGATGCTGTTTCTGGGAGAGAAGGTGGTGTCTCCCAGAGGCCTGAACTTAAAAGGAAGCAAGGGTCCCAATGAAAGAAAAGCCAGAATCAGAAAACAACATCTCTAGGGAATGTTGGACCAGAGGGTACTGTGGTGGGGACCAGCATGCCACCAAAAGTCTGGCTCTGCCTTCAGAGCCAAGGGTGAATTGAGCCTTTCAGAGATAAAATTAACACCTGAAGCCGGGCACTGGTGGCTCACACCTGTAATCCTAGTGATTTAGGAGGCTGAGGTCTGAGGATTGCAGTTTAAAGCCAGACTGGGCAGGAGCGTTGGTGAGACTCTTATCGCCAATTAACCACCAGAAAACTGGAAGTGGTGCTGTGGTTCAAAGGGCTAGCCTTGAGCTGAAGAGCTCAGGGACAGTGCCCAGGTCCTGAGTTCAGGCCCCAAGATTGACCAAAAAAAAAAAAATTAACACTTGAGATTAGAAGATCAAACCTAAGACAGGAGAATCACTTGAGCATAAGAGTTCAAGGCCACTCTTGACAACAAGGTGAAAGCCTGTCTAAAGGAAGAAATAGCTGGGTGTGGTGCTGTCACCTGTAATCTCAGTTATCTAGGAGGTGATAGGAATACAATTTAAGGTCAGCTCAGGAAAAAAAAGGTGAGACCCTGTCTGGAAAATAAGCTAAAAGAGAGATGGAGGTATGGCTCAATTGTCCTAAGTACCTGCCTAATAATGGGCAGGGCTTGAAGCCCAGTGTAGTGAAGCAAGTTTGTCAGCCCAGCTGTTCAAAAGCCCTGAGTTCAAGCCCCAGGACTGGCCAAAAACAAAGCCAATGAGAAGCCAGTGAAGGGCCTTGAAGAGGAGCATACAACAGAACCAAGAGACAAAGCAGAGGGACATGTGGGGACATAGCCACCCACAAACCCAGGGAATCAGGAGCGGGCTAGCTCTGGACCATGTGTGGGAGCAGACGGCCTGCCACCACAGGCTGGGCCAATCGTGGCCTTCTGAAGAAGCTTCTGAGCTGGGGATTGGGGATGGGCCAGAGTCATCCCCTGGGGAGAAAGCAGGTAGCTCAGTCCGTCTGTCTGCAGGGCTTCCTGGACCGGGGAACTGGTGTCTGCCCGGTGCAGGGAGCAGGGTGGAGTACTGGGGAGTGGGTGCCAGCAGGGGACAGCCCCACAGGGCAGCCCTGGCTCCAGAGACCCCGCAAGTTCTGGGCCTGGTCAAAGGGCCACACAGCATGCATTCTGGAATGAGGGAGGTTTCCTGTGGGTACAGAACCAGGAGACTTGGGGGGGGGGTCACTTAGCATCAAGTCCCCTCCTGCTTTCCATGCAGACACGTGGCCAAGTGCATGATCAGGCGGCTGCCCTGGTCATGGACTGTATAGTGGTAAACTGTGTTGCATCACCTGTCCAGTGGACAGTGCTGTGGTCAAGGACGACAGCCTTGGCCCTGCAGGTATGGTGTCAGCCCATCCGTACTCTGCCCGGTCTCAGGAGATGTGTCCAGCCTTTCACCCTGGAACTCTAATCTGACTTGGAATACAATCTCCAAGCCACAGGACAGTATTTCCCCCTTATCATCTGCCAAAACAACACAAAATGTCCTAAAGTTCACTTTGTTAGTGTGTAACTTTAAAAGGGGCAACTTTTATAGAAGTAGAATCTGCTTCCATCTCCCTACAAAGGGAGACAGCCTAGCCCGAGCCACCAGCTCTGCTGGCAGAAGGCAGCTTAAAATGGGGAAAAAGAAAAGAAGCTGGGCACTGGTGGTTCACAACTGTAATCCTAGCTACACAGGAAGCTGAGATCTAAGGATCAAAGTTCAAAGCCAGCCTGAGCAGGAAAGTCTGAGATAACAAAGGGGTGGGGGGGAAGATAGGCAAAAACTAGTTCTTTGATATAATGTGTGTGTGTGTGTGTACACATGCTAGTGCTAGGGCTTGAACTCAGGGCCTGGGTGCTATCCCTGAGCTTTTTCTGCTCAATTGCTCTACCACTAGAGCACAAGTCTACTTCTTGCTTTTTGCTGGTTAATTGGCGATAGGAGTCTCAGTACAGAATGGGCTGGTTTCCAACCAAAATCCTCAGATCACAGCATCCTGAGTAGCTTGGGCTGCAGGCATGAGCCCAGCTCAGTCTTTTTGTTGTTGTTACAAAGGTGATGTACAAGCCAGGCACCTGGGGCTCACACCTGAAACCCTAACAACTCTGAAGGCTGAGATCTGAGGATGACAGTTCAAAGCCATTCCAGGCAGAAAAATCCCTGAGATTATGTCCAAGTAACCTCCAAAAAACCGGAAGTGGTGCTGTGGCTCAAGTGGTAGAATGCTACCCTTGAGCAAAAAAGTTCAGGGACAGTGCCCAGGTCCTAAGTTCAAGCCCCATGACTGACCAATAGCAACAAAAGGTGATGTGCAGAGGGGTTACAGTTACATAGGTCAGGTAAATTTCTTTTTGGATGTCACTCCTGCAGCTTGTATTTTTTTTGGGGGGGGGGGGTCCAGTTGTAGGGCTTGAACTCTGGGCCTGGGCGCTGTCCCTCAGCTCTTCAGCTCAAGGCTAGCACTCTACCACTTGAGCCACAGCACCACTTCCAGCTTTTTTTCTTTTGAGTGCTAGCCTTGAGCTGAAGAGCTGAGGGACAGCACTCAGGCCCAGAGTTCAGGCCCCACAACTGGACCCCCCCCCCCCCAAAAAAAAAAAAAAAGAACCAGAGCAAACCAGAGGTTTCAGGCCCATCCCTTCACTCCCCATACGGCTTCTGCCCTTCCTTCCTCACAAGGGCTGGTTCTCCTCGCCCCGCCCTGCCCCACCACTGCCTCTTCAAGCTCCACAGGTGCACAAGACAGCGCCCACTTGGTATACTGCCCAGCTAGACCTGCGGTGTCTGCAGCCTTGTTCCTTCTGTGGTTTGGCCATGTTTCTTTCTAGTTCCTTTCTTAGCTTGTAAGGCTCCAGTGGAACTTGTAAGCATGTTTTCATGTCAGTGCTAGAACTCACTAGAAGATTTGACTTTGAAGTGTGGGCTCCAGTGGCAGGCACACTCGGGTGTTGCTCACTGCCCTGGGCAAAAAGCCCAGCCCAGCCCTGCAGGCTGCCTCGCTATTTACCTGTGGTCTCTTTAACTGAAGCAGATTGTAAAGCGCCACTCAGCACCCAACTCCTCAAATACTTCACAGCCTGAGAACACTGCAGTTTTGCTTTAAACTATTTTATTGCAAATAACTTATTAAACAGGTAAAAGTATAATGGCACATATTCAATACACATTCCAATAGTCATGTAATTATTTAATACTATTAACTGCATGTTCTAAGAAACATCAGAACTGTTGCTCACTGAGCCACAGATATTTGTACTGCTGGGAGGGGAGGAACAAACATCAGCCCGAGAGCCAGCACCATCCCTGTGTACCCACAGAAACGAGAGGGGAGCTTCCTACAGCCCCACCCACAACCCCTCCAAACTGAGTCACTCAGTGGCCAGTTCGCGTGAGTGAAGCACTGCAGAGGGATGGATGGGGCAGCAAAGGCACTGATTTTTAAAGTGCAAAAAGCAGGCAAAACCATAGCAGCTGCTCCCTGCAGTGAGACGTGGAGACCTCGGGAACAGCACGGCCACAGGACCTTGGGGAGCAGAGAAAAGGTGAGCGCTGTGGAGGAAGTTGAGCTCACGAGTTCACACTGGAGACTTGCACCCCTCCCTGAGTATAAATTACCTTGCAGCAGTGAAAGAACACTGAAGGGAGCGAAGGCAGTGGGGAGACAGAGCTGCCACACAGGGGAAGTGAGCAGTGGCAAGGCGGCCATGCTGGGGCCCCACCGCTGCTGCTGCTCCTGACCGGGCAGGATGCCAGGGCCACACACCTCCGCTCAGCCCCCCCTTCGCCACTCATGTGGCTCAACTCAGGCAACAGCTAAAGTCGGTGTAAAACATGGTCTGCAGAGCTAGCGAGGCTGTTCTTAATAACACCCCAAAATTGACTTCCCCTGCTCCATTCCTTCTACCTCTACCTTCAGTGCAGGTGGAAGAGAATTATCTTTAAAACAACTGTAAAATGTAGAAAATTCTTTAAAATCTGTCGCCACCTCTTGGAAAGGTAGAAAATTCTTTAAAATACAGAAAATTTCCTGTTATGATTAGAAAATTCTTTAAAATCTGTCGCCACCTCTTGGAAAGGTAGAAAATTCTTTAAAATACAGAAAATTTCCTGTTATGATTTTGAAAGAAAAAGACCCAAGAAAACCTGAGTACCCTAAACAACACCGGCAGGGCCCTGCTGTGTATGCGCTGGGGCAGTGTGTGTGCCCGGAGCGGTGCTTGAGGACATGGTGGTGACTGGCGCTCGGGGGGCAGACGTAAGCACAGGAAGGAAGGCATCCCCCAAGGACCCTGACACGAGTGGAAAGCTCTGAGAGGAGTGAGGAAGAAAGACATCTACACCGTCTTGCGCACATCACAGCGGGCCGGGCGGAGGCGAGCACAGGCTGAGTGTGGTCCGCCAAAAGGGACGGCTGCTCTCTGGAATGGGGTCTGGCCGTGTCCACAACTTGTGTGTCTGGGGCCCCCTGAGGCAGAGGGGCTCCTGTGGCCAGGGCCACCCTGGCACGCTCAGACCAGACAGATGCCATCACAGAACCTCGGGCCACGGTGAGCCCCGCCCCATCTCAGACCCTGTGGCCTCAGACCTCCCCGCTGTCCCTTCCAGACACAAGTCCAGGTGCTCGTTGATCTGCGTCTCCGCCACGTCCTCCTGACAGACAGGGCAGCTGACCACTGGGCTCTGACCACAGGAGTGGCTGGCAGCCAGTGTGGAGGCCCCTGGGCTCCAACTTCTCTCTGCGTCACCAGGCCCACGGGGAACTTGCTCCTTCTTGATAAAAAAGTGGTCAAATGCTGTCTTGGCCTCCAGCCTGGGTCGTTTGTTTGTGAATGGGAGGTCTTCACCCCCACGGCCTTTCTGGGACACAGCCACAGAGGCCGATGGCCCGGCTTTGGAGGGATTTCTTGGGGTCCGGGGGGTGGCGGCAGAGGCCCCGCTCTTGAGTGAGGGCGTGGGCACGGGCACGCTGCGGAAGGCCTTCTGTGGGAAGTAGCTGCTCAGCACGCTCTGGAAAGTGGCGCTGGGGAGCGGGGTGGCCAGCTGGGACGCGCCGCTGGAGGAATCCCCGTGGTCCAACTCCACGCGGACGTGGGTGCCGGGGTCAGGTCTTCGCACATCTGCTGTCCTATCCAGACTTGAGTGGCCTGAGGCTTCTTCACAAATGGTGCGTGAGGTGGTGGGTGTCCCGACAGCTGGGAGTGGGCGCGTCTCCCCGAGAACATACCCTTTCCCACTGAAGGGGACCAGCGGCAGGGCCGCCCTTCCCCGGGGCTCACCTGTAGGGGAAGCACAACATGAGCGCATGGAAGCAGTGTGGGTTTCCTTCCCACCCACACCCGCAGCTAGCGGCCCACTCTCAGGACACAGACAACCTCTGGAAGTCAAAGCTCTGGCACTGAGGAAAAAGATGAAAAGAATCCCTCACTTACATAACAGATAACATACAAGAGAAGAAAGGGGAGATTTGCTACAGGACCAGACCTAGCCTTCCCCTACATTCTCAGCCTCTCAGGTGTGGGGACCTCAGCCTGTGCTTCTGAGCTCTATCATCAAAGCAGCAGCGCCCAGGGAGAGAAGCAACTGGCAAGACTATGTCACAGGCAGGAGAGATTCCCTGCCTGTGTGTGTGTGTGTGTGTGTACTGGGACTTGCTACTGAGATGTCCCTGAGCTGCTTCTGTGTGTGTACTGGGGCTTGCAAGTGTGTGTGCATGCATGCGTGTGTGTGCATGCATGCGTGTGTGTGCATGCATGTGTGTGTGCATGCGTGTGTGCATGCATGTGTGTGTGTGTGTGTGTGTGTGTGTTCTGGGGCTTGCAACTGAGATGTCCCTGAGCTTTTTCACTTAAGACTGGTGTTCTGCCACTTGAGCCATAGCTGCACTTCTGCACTTCTGCCATTTTAGTGGGTAATTGGTGATGGCAGTCTAAAGGACTTTTCTATTCAGGCTGGCTTGAAACTACGATCCTCAGGTCTCAGTCTCCTGAGTAGGTAGGATTACAGGCATGAACCACTAGCACCCAGCAGGAAGGGTAGATCTTAAAAATGACACATGACTAAACATGTCCCATCCCATCCTCCCAAACACAAACACTGGCAGATGTCACCAGGAAACACACACACACACACACACACACACCCGTGACGGGAGGTGTCAAGACTCCTGATCCTGACAGTTCTTTACATTGTGTATATTTGCACAATCCTTTTGCCTTTTGCTTCCTAGTAACTCAGTGAACAGCAAAGAGGAAGAAAGGGAAGAAAGGGACTCTATTCAAACACTGCCCGTGGAAAATGCTTCCATTTTGGCTCACTTCAACAGAGCAAAGTGAATTTTTCTCTTTTCTTTTTTTTTTTTGGTCAGTCGTGGGGCTTGAACTCTGGGCCTGAGCGCTATCCCTCAGCTCTTCAGCTCAAGGCAAGTATTCTACTACTTGAGCCACAGCGCCACTTACGGTTTTCTGAGTGGTTTATTGGAGATAAAGAGTTTCATGGGGCTGGGAAGGTGACTCAGTGGTAGAGTGCTTGCCTTGCATGCAGGAGGCCCTGGGTTCGATTCCTTAGCACCACATAAGCAAAAAGAAAAAAGTCGGAAGTGGCACTGTGGCTCAAGTGGTAGAGTGCTAGCCTTGAGTTGAAGAACTGAGGGACAGCGCCCAGGCCCAGAGTTCAGGCCCCACGACCAGACCAAAAAAAAAAAAAAAAAAGTGTTTCACGGACTTTCCTGCCTGGGCTGGCTTTGACCCATGATTCTCAGATCTCAGCCTCCTGAATAGCTAGGATTACAGACATGAGCCACCAGTGCCCGGCTTTTTTTTTTGCCAGTCATGGGCTTGAACAAAAGGCCTAGGCACTAACCCTGAGCTTCATTTGCTAAAGGCTAGCACTCTACCAGTTGAGCCACAGCGCCACTTCCAGCTTTTTCTGTATATGTGGTGCTGAAGAATTGAACCCAGGGTTTCATGCATGTGAGGCAAGCACTCTGCCACTGAGCCACCTTCCCAGCCCCTGAAGCCTTCTTTCTATACCAGACACAATCCTGTCTCTCGCAGCCACAGCTGGGGCCCAAGGGAAGGCAAAGGGTGCAAAGCTACCTTTGTTCTCCACTGCAGAGCCTGGCTGTTGGTCTACTTTCCCCTTCCTTTTGCCTTTCCTGGAGTAGTTCTCGGGTTCCTTGACTTTTATGAATGTGCCTCCGCAGGTCTTCTGGTGCTCTGCCCACCAGTAGTCGTGGCAGGAGGGTGCCCTGTTGGTGGAGCGCTTGACATAGCCGTAGTAGGGCTGCCGGTACTGGCATGGCCCATCACAGCGCCACCAGTGCCTCCGGTACTCCTCCACCTCGTCATGGAAACTGTGGTAGATCTGAGCCAAAGAAGACATTTTAACCTTCAGTTACCTAAAGGTTTATAGGTCTGAGGAAACACTACACAAACAGCTGGTTTTTTTTTTTTAATCATTCCATTTAAACCAGAGATTTTTGAATAGCTCTATTTTGTTGTTATTTTTTTTGTCGGTCGTGGGGCCTGAAGTCTGAGCCTGGGTGCTGTCCCTCAGCTCTTCAGTTCAAGGCTAGTGCTCTACCACTTGAGCCACAGCGCCACTTCCGGCTTTTTCTGCTTATGTGGTGCTGAGGAATTGAACCCAGGGCCTCATGCATGCAAGGCAAGCACTCTACCACTGAGCCACCTTCCCAGCCCCAAAGAGCTCTATTTTGGAAAAATGATTTACTCTAGTTTATGTTCAAAAGCTGACATTAGTGGGAAATGACAAAAGTTGATTTAATACTCCCTATCCTGTGCAAAGACAGAACATGTAAGACAAAACTGAACCATGAAACACCATTATGAATGTGCAATCTTTCGAAACTAAGTACTGTAATGAAAAAAACCCAAACCCCAAACCAAACCAACCCACCTAGGTTCAAAGCCAGTCACCAGTGGCTCACGTCTGAATCCTAGCTACTCAGAAGGCTGACATCTGAGAATTACAGTGCAAAGCCAGCTAGGGCAGGAAAGTCCGGTAGACTCTTATCTCCAATTAACTACCAAAAAAGCCAGAAGCGGAGCTATGGCTCCAGTGGTAGAGTGCTACCCTTGGGCACAAAAGCTCAGGACTGGTGCCCTGACCCTGAGTTCAAGCCCCGAGACTGACAATCCTCCCTCCCCCCCAAAAAATAAATAAGAGACTAGGATGGAAACAAGACTTAGTATCACAAGATAACAACATTAAAGCACGGAGAAATAATTGTGACCAGAGCAAGAACTGTCTGGAGACAACAGTGATTTCCTGGTCTAAATTCTTGAGAAGAATGCAAAGCTCAAGCAAAGTGCACACTGATGAACAGTGTGATATGAGTGCTAAAGCGGTGTCACCATGCCCGCGTGTCTTCTCTTACCCCTGCCTCCTCACCGCCTTCACCTGCTAACAGCCACCAGGAGGCTCACCAGGAGTTTATGGTGTGAGAACTCAAGCAGGCTGAGCCCAGGGTTTACCACCACGAACCATGTATGCTGACCATGAACAAAAACCCTCTGACGAGAAGAATGGCACAGAGGCAGTAGAGAACTGGACAGATTGAGGAAACATACTGGGCTGGGAAGATGGCTCAGTGGTAGAGCGTTTGCCTTGCATGCATGAGGCCCTGGGTTCGATTCCTCAATATCACATAAGCAAAAAGAAAAAAGCTGGAAGTGGCGCTGTGGCTCAAGTGGTAGAGCGCTAGCCTTGAGCTGAAGAGCTGAGGGACAGCGCCCAAGCCCAGAGTTCAGGCCCCACCACCGGACCCAAAAAAAAAAAAAAAAAGGAAACATATTGGGAGATCACCATATAAGTCCAGAGAGGGAGGTCCTACAATGCTGACCTCGAGGGGCAGAGGACTTAGGGACAGGGCTGGCTCTGCTGCCCTTCACTGCCCGGCACCAAGAGAAGCCAGTCCCCTTCTGTCAGCTTCCTTTTCTCTGCTGAAAATCCTCCTCTTAACTAAATCTCAGGAGTTACTAAAATAAATACTAGCTCTCATTACTGTGTACTGAAGCCAGACAGAATAAGGGAAGCCTGTAATTCCAGCACCCTGGACACTGAGGCAGAAGGACTCCCAGTTTGAGGCCAGGAGAGACTACACAGTGAGCTTTAGGACAGCCTGAATAACAAGTAAGATCCTGTCTTCTTCAGGTGCTCTCTATACCGCTATACCAGCAGGAAGAGAAACGCAGGCGCTGTCTATACCGTTATATTGGCTCCGGTAAGGTTGTTGATGCGACGCATGTGTTTACAGAACTCGGGACCGTGTCCTTCCCGGTCTTTATCATTATCAGTGACAAACAAATAGGCGTGTATCATCTCATGCAGGAGGGTCTGAAACACAAAACCACCTTGTCAACTGGTTATGGAACTTCTAAAATGCACATGCGCTTTCTTACTCTACCTGTCATCTTAAGCCTCGGCAGGAGTATAGTCACAAGCTCTGCCCATTGTATCTGAAGCTCTGCAGACCTCAGGAAAACATCTCTGTGCCACAATGACCCGCTACGTGCAATCCAAATCCAAAAAAGGTCAATGAGCCCAACCTCATCAAAACCTTAAAATTCTGACACTGAAACAAAATAAAAAAACAAGTGAAAAAGAGCCAGGTACCGGTGGCTCACACCTCTAATCCTAACTACTCAGGAGGCTGAGATCAGAGGACTGCAGTTCAAAGCCAGTCCAGGCAGGAACACCCATGACTCTTCAATAAACCACTCAGAAAAGGCCACAAGTGGAGCTGTGGCTCAAGTGGTAGATTGTTGGTCTTGAGTACAAAGAAGCTCAAAGACAACATCCCAGCCCTGAATTCAAGCCTTAGGATCAGCACGCACGCACGCGCGCTCTCACACACTCACACACACACACACACACACACACACACACACACACACACAAACACACACCATCTCCCTTGGTCATTGTAAAAACATCTCCTTTAGGGCTGGGAAGTGGCTCAGTGGTAGAGTGCTTGCCTTGCATGCATGAGGCCCTGGGTTCGATTACTCAGCACCACATAAACAGAAAAAAAAAAAAAAAAGCTGAAAGTGGTGCTGTGGTTCAAGTGGTAGAATGCTAGCCTTGAACTGAAGAGCTGAGGGATAGTGCCCAGACCCAGAGTTCAGGCTCCATGACCGGACCCCTCCCCCCCCAACAAAAAAAACATCTCCTTTAAAATGATCCACCATAGCCAGGAGCCAGTGGCTCACACCTATAATCCTAGCTACTCAGGAGGCTGAGATCTGAGGATAGCGGTTAAAAAGCCACCCTGGCCAGGTGAGTTGAATGCTGAGGGACAGCACCCAGGCCCAGAGTTCAAGCCCTATGACCAACAAAAAAAAAAAGGAAAAAAAAAGTTCCACTGTACTACTTTTGTGTATGGTCCTAGGGCTTGAATTCAGGGCCTGAGTACTGACCCTGAGCTCAAGGTTAGCACTCTATCATTTGAGCTACAATTTCATTTCCAGCCTTTTTTTTTTTTTGGTCGGTCATGGGGCTTCAACTCTGGGTCTGGGTGCTGTTCCTCAGCAATTCAGCTCAAGTGCTCTACCACTTGAGCCACAGCACCACTTATGGTTTTCTAGTGGTTAAGCTGGAGATAAGAGTCTCATAGACTTCCTGTCTGGGCTGGCTTTAAACTGTGGTCCTCAGAGCTCAGCCTCCTGAGTAGCTAGGTTACAGCCAACGGCGCCTAAAGAAAGTTTTATTTAAGTCAATGACATTCTATCCTGAACACTCAAACTAAAAAACTTGTTTTATATCTCAAAAGTTTCTCAAGGAGACCTGACACTGTGGCTCACTCGTTTCTGAAATCCTATCTACTCAGGATGCAGAGGTTAAAAGGGCTGGAGCTTGAGGCAATCTGTCTGATCTCAGGCAAAAGGAGCAAAAAATTTATGAGACCCTCATCTCAACCAATACAAAGTTTGACACAGTAGCACCTGCCAGTCATCCCAGCTACTCAAGAAGGGTAAATAGAAGGACCGGGGTACTGACTAGTTGGGACATATATGTGAGACACTATTTTCACAAAGGAGAAACCAATTTAGGCTCCTAACAACTTAAACATCTGAAAAAATAGCACTCCAGTTTTATGTATCTACCCATGTCTACATTTAGCCTAGCTCCAAGGTTCTGAACAACTCATCTGTTTCCCACTGTTGCTCTACCTGGTCAGGGTTGACAAGTACTAGCCACACATGGTGCTATATATCCCAGTGATCCTAGCAAGGAGGCAAGAGAATCAAGCACTCAAGAGACTGAGGTAGGAGGATTTTGAATTCAAGACTAGACCGGTCAAGAAAAATAATGAACAAAGCAAATTACTGAGCCAAGAGTCAGATTTATGCTCAGAGTACCTCTACAAGATCCTTTCTTGGTCTCAACTTTAAGAGGGGTTCACTGAGACGGATAGAGCACATTCCACCTCTTCCTTCGTAGAGGCAAATTCCAGCGCACCTGCAAACATCAAAACATTTTATGTTCATCAAATACACACGAAAGTCAACAGAGCAAATTCTTACCTGCTGGTGAGCAGCTTCCAGGAAGAAGGCCCATCTGGAGATAGATGGCTTCCCCATGGTGACTCTCCCAGGCAGATACTTAACCAGTGGGTAGTAGTACCTCCTTACTGGTGCCTGCACAAAGGCCCAAGAAACAGAATCCACTCTGCCACCCAAAGGCCATCATGACAGGTGGTGAACCAGCCTGTCTGCACTGGCACAAAGGGGCTGTGTGAAGATGTGCACGCTCACAGTTTTCTACCCTACCTTGTCTTGTGAGCGCTTACAACTCCGCCTAAACCTGCCTCCCCTCACGTCTGGGAAAGGCTATGACTGCAAACTACATTTTCTTAAACTCAGTAGAGAAAGATTCCTGTTAGGACACCATGGGGAGGCGGGGAGTAGTCCTGGGTCTAGTGCACTGTTCACGGGTGAGAACTGTAACCTGAGAGCCCCTGAGTGTGGTACACCAGGGCCAGGGTCAAGACGGCATATCTGGGGGTTCCAGGACCCCACGACCAGAGGCAGGGTCAAGACGGCATGTCCGGGGGTCCCCGGACCCCGCGACCAGTGCAGGGCCAAGACGGCATTCCGGGGTCCCTAATGCGAGAGCCGAGTCCGGGCGGCGCGTCCCGCGGGCCCCGCACCCCAACGGCGGCGGCCGCGCGGGGGCCGTTCGAGGCCGCACTCACAGCGTCATGCGCGCGCTCCACTTCACCTCCACGGCCTCCAGCTGGCCCCAGAAGAAACGGTCGTTGAACTGCACGAACAGCGCCTGCAGGTCCGGGGTGGGGTCCGCCAGCTCCCAGGACGCGTCCACCAGCGACGGCGGCTCCCGCGCCGCCTCGCGCTGCGCGGCCCGCGCGTCCCACTCCCGCTGCGCGGCCCGCGCGTCCCACTCCCGCTGCAGCCGCAGCGCCACCACCAGATCCTCGTCCATCGCGCCGCCCGCGTCCCCCGCGGCTCACGGACCACGGGACACGGGCGCGCGCGCGCGCGGGTCTCGCGAGAGCTCAGGGCACGGCCACAGAGCGCGCGCGCGCGGACGCGAGCGAATCAGCGAGCGAGCGCCGGACGCCGGAACCGAGATGCGGAGCCTCGCAAGCGGAGCTGGCACTATGCTGCCCCGCGGGCGCGGGCCCGAAGCGGTCTGTTGCCTTTGCAACCCTGCGTTCCGCGTTACACTCGGATCCCCGCACGAAGCCTGGCCCGACTTTTACTTCCGCAGTTGGGCATCCGCGCCCTAGGCGACTGCAATTTCTGCGCAGGCGCGCGGTGGGGGTTTGGAGTAGCGCAGGCGCACTGTGAGACACTCGACCCCTCCCCTCCACCTCAGCGCACGCGCGCTGGGAGACGCTTGGTTCCGACGCAGGCGCACTGGGAGACGCTCGACGCCCGCGCACGCGTGCTGGGAGACGCTTGGTCCTGGCGTAGGCGCTCTGGGAGACTCTCAGTCCCGGAGCAGGAGTAGTTGTGAGCCCCTTGGTTGTGGCGCACGCGCGCTGTGAGACGCTCGGCTCCGGCGTAGCGTCGTCGTCGTCGTCGTCGTAGTCCCTCGCGTGCCCCTTGCCCCCGGCCGCGGTCTCCGCCCAGCGCGAGTGGAGCCCGGCGGCGGCGGGTGACGGCGGCGGGTGGCCGCGGGGGCGCGCCAGAGGCGCGGAGCGGGCGGTGGCCATGTCTGACAGCGGGGCGAGCCGCCTGCGGCGGCAGCTGGAGTCAGGCGGATTCGAGGCGCGGCTGTACGTGAAGCAGCTGTCGCAGCAGTCGGACGGCGACCGCGACCTGCAGGAGCACCGACAGCGCGTGCAGGCGCTGGCCGAGGAGACGGCGCAGAACCTGAAGCGCAACGTCTACCAGAACTACCGGCAGTTCATCGAGACGGCGCGCGAGATCTCCTACCTGGAGAGCGAGATGTACCAGCTGAGCCACCTGCTGACGGAGCAGAAGAGCCGGCTGGAGAGCATCCCGCTGGCGCTGCTGCCGGCGGCGGCGGGGGCGGCGGCGGGGGCCCCGGGCGGCGAGGACGCGGCCGCCGCCGGCCCGCGCGCGCCCCCGGGCGGCCCGCGGGCCCCCGCGCCCGCGCCCGGAGAGGACGCGGGCCCGCGCCGCACGCTCACCACGCTGCTGGAGAAGGTCGAGGGCTGCCGCGCGCTGCTCGAGGCGCCAGGCCAGCGCCTGGTGTACAACGGGGACCTGGTGGAGTACGAGGCCGACCACATGGCGCAGCTGCAGCGCGTGCACGGCTTCCTGATGAGCGACTGCCTGCTGGTGGCCACCTGGCTCCCGCAGCGGCGCGGCGCCTACCGCTATGATGCTCTCTACCCGCTGGACGGGCTGGCCGTGGTCAACGTCAAGGACAACCCTCCCATGAAGGACATGTTCAAGCTACTCATGTTCCCCGAGAGCCGCATCTTCCAGGCGGAGAACGCCAAGGTCAAGCGCGAGTGGCTGGAGGTGCTGGAGGAGACCAAGCGGGCGCTGGGCGAGCGGCGGCGGCGCGCTCAGGCGCAGGAGGCGGCGGCTGCCCCGCGGGCCCCGGGGCCAGGATCGGGGCCGGCGCCCAAACCTGCCCGGGGCACCAACCCCTTCGAGGCCGAGGCCCAGGCCCAGCCGCCCGCCGACCGGGCCCCAGAGGAGGAGCAGGAGGAGGAAGAGGAGGAGAGTGTGGACCTCTCCCTGGAGTGGATCCAGGAGCTCCCCGAGGACCTGGACGTCTGCATCGCCCAGCGGGACTTCGAGGGCGCCGTGGACCTCCTGGACAAGCTGAGCCGCTACCTGGAGGACAAGCCGCGGCCACCGGCCGTGCGCGAGCTCCGCGCGCGGGTGGACGAGCGCGTGCGCCAGCTCACCGACGTGCTGGTGTTCGAGCTGTCCCCCGACCGCTCGCTGCGGGGCGGGCCCCGCGCCACGCGCCGCGCCGTGTCGCAGCTCATCCGGCTGGGCCAGGCCACCAAGGCCTGCGAGCTGTTCCTGCGGAACCGGGCGGCTGCCGTGCACACGGCCATCCGCCAGCTGCGCATCGAGGGCGCCACGCTGCTCTACATCCACAAGCTGTGCCACGTCTTCTTCACCAGTCTGCTGGAAACGGCCCGCGAGTTCGAGACAGACTTCGCGGGCACCGACAGTGGCTGCTACTCTGCCTTCGTGGTCTGGGCCCGGGCGGCCATGGGCATGTTCGTGGACGCGTTCAGCAAGCAGGTATTCGACAGCAAGGAGAGCCTATCGACGGCAGCCGAGTGCGTGAAGGTGGCCAAGGAGCACTGCCGGCAGCTGGGCGAGATCGGGCTCGACCTCACCTTCGTGGTCCACGCGCTGCTAGTGCGGGACATCCGGGGAGCCCTGCACAGCTACAAGGAGATCATCATCGAGGCCACCAAGCACCGCAACTCGGAGGAGATGTGGCGGCGCATGAACCTGATGACCCCTGAGGCCCTGGGCAAGCTGCGGGAGGAGATGCGGAGCTGCGGGGTGGGCGACTTCGAGCAGTACACGGGCGACGACTGCTGGGTCAACCTGAGCTACACGGTGGTGGCCTTCACCAAGCAGACGCTGGGCTTCCTGGAGGAGGCGCTGAAGCTGTACCTGCCGGAGCTGCATACAGCGCTGCTGGAGAGCCTGGTGGAGGTCATCTTGGTGGCGGTGCGCCACGTGGACTACAGCCTCCGCTGCGAGCAGGACCCTGAGAGGAAAGCCTTTATCAGACAGAATGCCTCCTTCCTCTATGAGACCGTGCTCCCTGTGGTGGAGAAGAGGTTTGAGGAAGGTGTGGGGAAGCCTGCCAAGCAGCTCCAGGACCTGAGGAATACATCCCGACTGGTCAGGGTGAACCCCGAGAGCACCACCTCCGTGGTCTGAACCCGGCCTGCCACCCACTTGGATAGACAGCGTGTGCTTATTTATATTTGCGTTAGGTAAATTTGTGTATTCCTTATAGCCTTAGATTGCTAACAAAATAAAAATGCCCACTTAGAAAAATGTATAATCAAAAGGGGTAGAAAACATGCGTGTTTAAACCCAAAGAACAAAAATAGTAGAACGATTAAAACATACTATACTTTTAAATTATGCTACTTGTTTTAAAAATAATTTTTTTGTTACTATAAAGGTGATGCACAGAGGGGTTGCAGTTACATAAGTCAGGTAAAGAGTGCATTTCTGGCTAGGAATTCGGCTTAGTGGGAAGAGTGCCTCCCTAGCATGCATGAAGCCCTGGGTTCAATTCCTCAGTACCACAGAAAAAGCCAGAAGTGGTGCTGTGGCTCAAGTGGTAAGAGTGCTAGCCTGGGGCAAAAAGAAGCCCAGGGACAGTGCCCTGACCCTGAGTTCAAACACCACAACTAGCAGAAACAATACAAAAAACACCCATATTCATTCTCGCTGCGCTACTTCTATAATGAATATATGGCAACACTGAAATTTCAGGTTATCTTTCGAGTTACACACTTCTTTATGGTATGTGTTATGCAGCACAGAGAAATAATACCTGTAAATACAAACCTTGAGTATGAAGTTTCCCTGTTTTCCAGGATGATAGGTTTCTTAGCAGGTAGAGTGCCATATAAAACATCCTCACATTTCCCCTTCTTAAGTTGTAATTAAACAGTTTGGTGAAATGATTGTAGGATAAGTTTTAGTCAAAACAATTCCTTTTGGGGGCTAAGAGTGGCTCAGTAGTAGAATGCTTGTCTCACATAAGCAGAAAAAGTTGGAAGTGGCACTATGGCTCAAGTGGTAGAGCGCTAGCCTTGAGCACAGAGTGGCTCAGGGACAGAGCCCACACCCTGAGGGCCACCCCCCCAAAAAAAAAAAATTCCTTTTTAAACTGGCTAATGCGCAGGTGTGGAGTACTGCCATCGTTGTGGAAAACACAGGGAAGCTCACACACTGTTCTGTTAACATTTCCAGCATAACTGAAAGGCTTAGTATTTTTTTGGGGGGGGGCGGGTCTGGTCATGGGGCCAGAACTCTGGGCGTGGGCACTGTCCCTCAGCTCTTCAGCTCAAGGCTAGGGCTCTACCACTTGAGCCACAGCGCCACTTACGGCTTTTTTTTCTTTTTTGCTTATGTGGTGCTGAGGAATCAAACCCGGGGCCTCATGCATGCAAGGCAAGTGCTTTACCACTGAGCCACCTTCCCAGCCCTGGCTTATTATTTTCATATGCTACTTACCAATTCCATAGGACTTAAATTTGACAGTATTTACTTGAAAAGAATAAGGACTATGGTGGATTCTTTCTGACATTCCTGGATCATCTGAATTTGCAGTTACAGTGTTTGTCATGTGAAGTAGAAACTGGTTTAAAAAACACAAAAGAGCCAATTGTGGGACCTGGAAGCAGCCTTTGGCTTTGTGCTCCCACCCCTTCAGCAGGGCTCACAGAGCTCAGTCTGGAGGCAAATGAAAAAAATGTTCCCAGTGGAACATCTAGATTTGAGATCCTGGGAGGGTTGGAAGTTAAAAAAAAAAAAAAAAAATTCAGATCCCAAGAATGACTACTTAAACAGATTTGGTTTTGTTCTAAAAAAAAAAAAGCCGGGTACCAGTGGCTCATGCCTGTAATCCTATTCCAGGAGGCTGAGATCTGAGGATCACAGTTCAAAGCCAGCCTTGGCAGGAAAGTCCATGAGACTCTTATCTCCAATTAACCACTCAAAAAACTGGAAGTGGTGCTGCAGCTCAAGTGGTAGAGTGCTAGCCTTGAGCTGAAGAAGAGCTGAGGGACAGCGTTCAGGCCGAGTCCAGCACCACGACAAAAAAAAAAAGGAAAACAGGTGATATTGAAATGTCCAGAGCTGACGTCTTCAAGGCTCCTATTGTGTTTGTTTTTAACTTTTCCTTTCTCTTTAGAAGGTACTCAGATTATAATGTTTCAGTAAAAGAAAAATGACTAAAGAACTGTGAGCATACAAAGATTAACTGCATCTTCTCTGTCCTGAGTATGTAAGATTCTTCATAAGAAGTTTGT